CTAGTTACAGGAATCATAGCTTCAGCAACGTCACTATGCTATGAAAAACCCATTTAGAAAAACTATCAATAGCTGCTTCCTAAAGAAAACAGTTTCATCCTGGGAAAATCAAAAACTATCTTAAGAAGGCCTAGGTGTTCCACCTACCTTGTTCTTCGTGATCTTTGAAATGCCACCAATATCCTTTGGAGGGATGATATCGACAGTAAGACATTGCTTCATCAAAAGCTGACTGAATGCCATGCACTGCAGTGAGCTTGTAAACAAGAAAACAAATTCTAAATCTCTCACTAGGTCAACCAAAATTTCCAAAGGAAATATAAAATATTCCATATACAAAGAGAGTAATTTCTTATTTTTCAAAACCCATGTCACTATATGACTGGAGTTGTATAGGCATCCCTCACAATCCCCAGCAGATTGGTTCCAGGACCTGCAGATACCAAAATCAATGGATTCTCAAATCCCTTCTATTAAAAGCATACAGTATTTGCAAATAACCTACGTACCTCCCCCATACACTTTATACCATCTCTAGATTATTAATAAGGTCTAATACAATGTAAATGATATTTAAATAGTTGTTAGACTTTGTTATTTAGGGAATGATGACAAGAAAAATTCCGCCCATGTTTAATACACATGTAACATTTTTCTGAGTATCATCCACAATAAATGGACATGAAAACTCTGGATACAGAAAGCCAACTGTATGTAACAGCGCTGACTTGGCCTATGGTAAACAATGGTCAAGACACTGTAATGGTCAATACTTTGCACTAACTTCCATAAGGGAGGAGAGATCCTGTTTGCTTTCAGAAGGAGGGTAGCACAACTAAAAGTGTAAAGAATGTGAGTGAAGACACTTACCACTCTGGAGTTTATAACTGATCCCAAGTCCGGTGCCTGATAAATCACCCCAGCAATGATATAGTAATCAGCAAGAGGGATAACTAAAGCAGTGGGGGAAAAAATGCTTATGAACACAGCTCTGGACGCAAACGTCTAAATAGATATACATTAAAAACATAAGTAAAATTTGATGTTTTCCTACATTAAACTTTATCACAAGATATGGTAACTCCTTTTTTTAGAAATAGTTTTAATGGAAAACAGCTACACTCATTTATTTGCATGTTCTCTGTGGCTACTTTGCCAACGATTAAAGAGCTGTCATTGAGACTAAAGGGCCCACAAAGGCCTAGAATTGACTCTCTATCCCTGCAAGAACAGTGCTTCTCAAATGAGCATCTGAATAATACTAAATCAGTTTAATGTACATTTGTGGTGCCAATGCTATAATCGGTCAACCAAACTTTTGGGAGTAGGACCTTACAGCAAGATTGACATGGGTCCCAGGGTAGACATCAAATGTACTAAACGTTTTTTTTTTTTTTTTTTGTCTTTGTGAGACAGAGTCTTGCTATGCAGTTCAGGCCGGCCTTGAACTCACTTTGTAGCCCAGGCTGGTCTTGAACTTGCAACAATCCTCCTGTCTCACCCTCCTGAGTGCTGGCATTATAGGTATGCACCACCATGCCCGGCCTCAGATGCACTAAACGGGCCTGCAACCTCAGGACTGAATCCTAAGGCATAAGAAGCTGCCCCAGTACCATTTTGTATAGATTCTATACCCTGAACCTTCTTCATCAGTCTCTTCTAAGGTCTCTTTTTCTCTGGAAAGAGACTCCAAATCTTCCATTTTGAAACTAAATTTAGATTCTGGAACCACAACTTATTCCGCAATCTCTGAAATTAATACTAGAATTAAAGGTTGTTCCTAAATGTCTTTATGAGGCTATCTAGTGAAAGATATAGCTGAAACAACATTATCTGGCTTCTCTACCTTGAATCATTTCTTCAGGGTGAAGTTTTCCAAAGTCCTGCTTTGATTCCGTGAGGTCTTAAAATTCTGGTCATATGTACAACAGATGTCTTAGCTCTCTGATTTAAAACCAAATCTACAGTCTGTACTCCTCAGTAGTATTTCTCAAGCAAGCTTTCATTTGATAGTAAATTCTAGGTAAGACTTTTGATTGAATGGAACACTGAGGATATTCAACTGATTTGCTATGAATCTGATACAATTTCATCTGCTATGTAAGTATTTTATAACTGAAGTAACTCAGTTCACTGAGATGAGAAGAAAAGCTACTTGGGATGTCTGAAGCTCAATGGGATCCTAACTACTATGTCACAGAAAAAGTTGAGTTGTTCCAACTGCTGGTGCCTAAAGAATTGTCCTTGGGAATATTAGCAAAAATTATGGTGTCCATGCATACAAACAGAATGTGGCTTTTGAAACATTCTGTCCAAATGTACAAGCAATGTGAGTATTGGGGACATCTAATTTCCTTCTAGAAGTCTGGAATTCTGTTGGACAGAGGATCCCTACGTGACCGGGCCTTAATAAAAAGTCCTAAGTTCCTAGTTTAAAATGGGCCTCTCAGCCGGGCGTGGTGGCGCACGCCTGTAATCCCAGCACTCAGGAGGCTGAGGCAGGAGGATTGTGGCGGAGTTCAAGGCCAGCCTGCGCTACAAAGTGAGCTCAAGGCCAGTCTGAACTGCACAGCGAGATCCTGTCTCAAAAAGACAAAAAAAATAAATAAATAAATAAGGAAAGGGGCCTCTCTGAATAGACATATACACATGTGGCTGGATCTCACTGCTGAACAGAAGGCATGCCCAGTGTGGCTCCTCACAAGAGGAAATGCACAGAGAACCGGCACACGGATTCCTAGACAGCCCGACCGCTATGTCTTTTTCTAGTACTAATCTGGTTGTGTAGCCTTACTGTGCAGCCATAACAAATCTTATTCCGGAGTGAACTACATGCTGAGTCTGGTGAGCCTCCCAAGCAAAGTACTGAACACACACATGTTTTGGAAACCCTTGAAGCAGAACTCAATCTATAGACACATAGACAGATGGACAGATGGAGAGAGATCACGGTATTTTTAAGAAAAAATGCCTAACGTTTACACCTGTTACCTTGAGCAGGAGACTGCCGCTGTTGCTTTCGAATGATGAAAAGAATTGGCTCTTGAGCATGTAAAAGGATGTACTCCACTCCAACCATCTGACTGAAACAGACAGACACCTCAATCTGAGCGCCTACGTGACTCTGCAGAGCATTCAAATCACATGAATTGTAGCAACGCGTAAACAGGGTTAGAGTTGCCTGTGTGGTCTGAAAACTTTTGCTGTTAAATAAAACTGGCTGATTTCTGGCTAGGTAACAGACAGACAAAGAGTCGGTTTGGGCTCTTCTTTTTGGTCTTTCTGAGACAGGGTCTCACTATGCAGTTCAGACTGGTCTTGAACTCACTTTACAGTCCAGGCTGTCCTCAAACTCTCAGCCACCCTCCTACCTCAGCCTCGTAAGTGCTGGGATTACAGATGTGCGCCACCATGCCTGGCCAAGAATTGGTTTTTAAATGACAAAATTTTCCTACAAAATTTACCATGAGTTTGCATGAATATTTTGACAGAAAAATACAATCAAAAAACGTTTCAAAAAGGCACTCAAAAAACGTTTCCTGACCAAAGCCTATACATATATAAAATATAAACACCGAAAACCTTACCCTCACCCCAACACACTTTTGCCCTGCCAGACTGTTTAAAAGCAACAATGTTATCTTATTAATAGTTCATAACAAAAACCATTTAAAATACTATAGAAATTTAAGTTCGTAAAATCTACCACATACAATACTTCGGTAAAACATGATAAATTATATACAGTTTCAGAAACTTTCATAATAGTAATAAATTCTTAATTATTTAGCACCCTTAATCTGAAGAATCTTCCCTTATGTTTGACTGAATTTTATTACTTTATTTGTCAAAGAAAAATCTATTATAAACCAGATTATGGTATGGCATAAAACGTACAATTAGATTTACAAGGGAACAGTAATTGTGATTGGTTGAGAACTACAACTGCACTGCTAAAGCCACTCAGAGTGGCAGTGGGAATTTAAACAGACACTACCAAGTATACAAAAAAGATGGAGTTGCAGATGACCACTAATAATTCCCCTGGATAGCAAATTGGTAAAAGACAAAGCTTAAATGTTTCTTCCAAAATTCTACTCTGTACTTCATAATCCACAGCTCAAAAAGAAGTGTTTGTTACAAAATCTCTAGCTGGCAAAGAAGCTACCTTCTTAAAGAGACTTACTTCAAGTGTTCTAACGTTAGCCTCTGCATTTTGACCACTTCATTATTACATGTTCTGTCATAGAAAGGATTACTTCTTTCTGAAAAGTAATCCAGGACACTTCCACTGTTCAAAATGGGGATCCAGGAGCTGTCGACCCAAGAGATTCCCAGCAGATTATCTACAGGAAAAAAAACAAGGTAAAAGATTAGAATCGAGGAATAAAATGCAATTTAACAAACATCTATCATGAATCTAATGTGGCAGGCCCTATGAATGTAAGAATGGCATGGATCCTAACCTATGCATTCTCACAGAAGAGAGAAATACACACGAAAACAATGACAACACAATACCGTAATACAATGAAGGTATGGATAAATGAGTTATGAAAGCACAGAAAAGGGAGCAGAATGTTTTACCCAGGGGAATGAAAATGATTTTTCATAGGTAGATTTTAACAGTGTATGTTGAAGAACAAAAACTTGAGCAGGCATGGTGGTGCATGCCTATAATCTCAGCAGTATGGGAGGCAGAGGCAGCAGGATCCCACATTCAAATCCAGCCTAGGTAACTTCACAAAACCTGTCTCAAAATTTAAAAATGGGCTGGGGATTCAGTTTAATGCTAAGGCCCAGGGTTCAATCTAGAAGAGAACAAAAAAAAAGAGACCTAGCCATGGAAAAAAAGGATAAAGCAATTCCACACAGAGAGAATTCACATACAGAACTATAAAAATACAAATACATTTAGAGAACAATTTGATTAGGAAAAATGTTAAGACTTGATATATAGAAAGATCTTTTCAAAAACTGAAAATCCTGAGTTTTTATGTGCTGGTTACTAATTTTAAAAATTTCAAACACATCCTCAGGCACCAGTTTGAGATCTCTCACTTTAGGACAAAGAAATAAGTCATGGAGTTATTATTATAGATGAGAATCATGATGTAAAAGTTCAGAGATAAACGGTAAGCTGAATTCCCTTATTGCAGACACACTGCTTCGCATTTGAGTAGAATTAAATCTTTAAAAAGACATGGTAAATAGATACATTTAACTAAGGAAGCTTTTGCTTTTTAGTAGTACTAGGGACTGAACCCAGGGCCTTCACACTTAGCCCACTGTGGGCCTAAATTTGAGACCCTCCTGTCTCAGGTTCCCAGAACACTGGGATTACAGGAGTGTGCCACCTGGTGGCTCTTTCTCTATGCTCAAAACAATTATTGGCTATTAGCTGTGCTAATGTTTCATACCACTAAGGACCAAATACCACCAGGTTTAAATCATGAAAATCAAAATGCCTATATAACAGGTTGAAAAATTTCACCCTCTTCTACATTGCAATTACTCCGGCATCTTTGAAGAAGTCAGATCTAATTCAAGGTGACAGTCAGTTTTAAGCAAAATGAATCAAATCAGAGGCATTTTTTTAAGTAAAAATGTAAAATGTGCTGTATGTGCCCTAAAATAAAGGAGACAAATGAAGTACACAGTAACCAAATTGATTAGTACAATATTACTATGACTTGTTAAGTAAAATAAAGAAATCAAGAAAGCCTTCATATAATTTGAAAAAATAATTAGTATAGACCATTATATAGTTCATTATACATTATATCATGCCATAACCAAAAATGAGACACCAGGAAATATTTTCAGAAAAAATCTTTTTTTGCTAATGAAAAGCAACAAAAGATAATCACTATTTTCAGTTTAAATTCTGTAGTCTTAAATTATTAACATGTCTACTTACAACAAAATTCCCCATACAATTCTTTTTAATTTTCTTACAAAATTATCATTTTCCCTCCCTCAAAAATGCTTCCTATGTCCTTATCTTTCTATACATTGCTACTGGCTTTTATCAGGCCCTCATTATTTTATGCCCATATCTATAACTCTTCCTGTTGGCAGGTAGGATTGATAATTATGAAGACTAGCTATGTAAAATACTTAGCAAACTGTAACCTAATAAATGTCAAATATGATAATAGTGGTGTTGGTGACGGTGTTTTCTGTTTTGGTTTGTTGTTTTGTTTTTTGTTTTTTTTTTGAGACAGGGTCTTGGTGTGTAGCCCAGGCTGGCCTCAAACTCAATCCTCCTGCCTCAGCTTCCCGAGTGCTGGGAGTACAGTCATACACCATGCCAGCTTTTTCCCCATTCTGATGGCAAGTTTTATATATTTTCATTGCTAACATTCCAAGTATTAGTATTTCAAATGGAGATAGAAGGAAGAAAGGTAGAGTAAAAAGAAGATGTATTATACACATGTACCAACTCTGCACAACAAATATAATCACTATGTACTTCACACATGTACCAATAAAAATAATTGTTTTAAAAAAATAGGAAAAACAAAACAAAAAAAGAAGCCAGGCATGGTGGCGCATGCCTGTAATCCTAGCCCTAGGGAAGCTGAGGCAAGAGGATCTGCAAGTCTAGACCAGCCTGGGCTACAAAGCGAGTTCAAGGCCAGCCTGAACTGCATAGCAAGACTCTGTCTCAAAAAGACAAAAAATAAATAAATAATTAATAAATAATAGAAGAAGCTACACATGGACAGCATGCGTGCAATCCTGGCACCTCGAGTTTGAGACCAGTCTCGGCTACATAGTGAGTTCAAGACCAACCTGAACTACATAGTGAGACCCTGTCTCAAAAAACAAAACAAAACTAAACAAAAAACAGAAGAACAACAACAAACTACAAATGCACCACTATTAAATTGTAGGTTTTACTCATTAGGAATCAGAACAGGACCTGATTCATAGAAATTTGCAAATGCTTATTAATTCATGCTGGAAGGACAAGGACAAGTATGACTTACTCTAAGAGATCTTCATCAACTCATTTACACAGACTCCAGTATCAAAGGATGTTCATCCACATAATGGTTAACTAAGATTAAGGTATGGTGTACAGCTATAAAATAAAGCATAATTATCTGTCCCACTTGGAGATTACCTGTGACCACAACTTCATAAGACCACAATACCAAATCAAGCAGATTCCAAACACCTCTTCCTGTCTCCACGGTTAACACCTTTGTCCAAGCAACTTCCAACTCTCCATCTATTTCAGAAACAGTCTCCTAACTGGTTTCCCTAATTCTACCCTTGTTTTCCTACACTGCTCTCAACCACAAGGATCCTAAAAAGGGGGCAGTCATATGTCATCCACCTGCTCAAAACCCTCTGGTGGCTCTCCATTTCCGACAGTGGAAAAGCTAAAGCCCTCACCGCTGGTTACAATACCTCCCCAAGGTCATCTTCCCACACCTTCCCTCACTCGGCCTCTACCCATACCAGCCTCCTTGGTGCTCCCCTAAATCACCACTCCTACTACTTTAGAGCCTTTGCTAACAAATCTAAACAAAAAGTAAATCATTACAAATGCAAGCTTCCTTAATGTAGTCTTATGAACTAAGTGCTTCTCTTTTTATTCACACTCTTGACAATCTGCAAGTGATGAAATCAGGCACTTGAAACTCTCACGATAAAAGATAAGCACATAAAATCATGACCCAGAAATACTAAAGACTTTTAGATGACCACAAATAAGTCTGCTAGACCTTAATTCCGTCAGTATAGAGGAAATTTCTCTTTCCTTTAAACATAAGTACACACAAGCAAAATCTTACATACTTTGCAAAGATCAAAAAGCAATTAATAGGCTGCATATTTATCCACTGACCGAATCAACAAGTATTCTGAGTACTTCTACAATTCAGCTGTGAAAAATAAATGACCCCCCCAAATAATTACAGTACTGAGTGTTAGGTGAAAGATATTACAGACTCAAAACTAAAACTTACAAGCTCTGTGGGGTGCGATCTCAAGAACAAGGCAGCCCCCATGTGAAGCCCCCAGAAGCCCCATCACAGTAGGCTCATATCCCACTGTCCTCTCTGACCAAAGGCCAGCCCTTCACCCCGATATAACGCCCCCAATACCGCTACAGCGCAGAGGTCGTACGGAGAACGGAAGTTCAGGTCGGAGGAACGTTTTTAAGACCCTCATCAGGAACTCGGGAAACCTCGGCGACCCTTCTTGCTTAGAGCCTTAGGTCGTCCACAGAAACTATCCAGAAGCGCATGAGACCTCACAAGGTAATATGAATCTTGCCCCCGCGAGCTGTAAACCCCAGGCGCGTCCACAGTCATGTAAAAACCACCACAACGTTACCTCGGATATCCACCGCCGCCATAATTCCCAACGCGCTCGGAGACGCTCTTTCCGGCGCCGAGTAAAGCGCCTGAGCGCGACTACAGAACAGTTCAAAATAGTACGGGTGGTGAGAGGGACAGAAAGACGCAGATCCGCGGAGAGGGACGGAAACTGCAGGGTGAGCTGGGAAGGTGGGCGGGGTTTGGGAGGAGGGGATGGGGAGGGACGGAAAGGGGCGGAGCTGAGGGGCGGTGGCAGGGGTGAGGGGGCGG